TTAACTTTTTCTAACTAGTTGTATGTCCGGCCTAAATCCAGGGGCCACCCAGGTAGGGTTCAAGTTTCAGGCGTAGGGTTCAAGAACTTGAAAAAATTTAGGGGGTTTAGAGCTTAAGGCTAACGAGGCGAGGCAGACTACGGAGCAGCGGATACTTCTGAGAGCAGCTCGTGAGCGACCAGTGACCGACCCCAAATGCCTCCCCACGCTATTCTGGGATGTTTGCTATGAGCATACGACATTATGTACGTACTCCTACTTGCCAACAGAAAGGCCGACCCGAAACGTTGAAACGCCCCAGAGACCGCCCGGAACAGGCGCACTGGTAGGGTTTGGGCCGATGTTCCTTTTAGTGGTCTTTGTCGGGGCCACGTCTCATCTTCTGGGTGGCATCATGTGAGTCGGCGTCAAAATTAGTTTTTTCAGCCTTGCCTGTTTTTGAGTTAGCGTGCCCCCTATTGCACCTTTATCCTATCGTGTCAAACACCTCTATCATTAAGCACGTCCCTTATCGATCATCGGCTTTTTGCCCAACAACTACCCCCTCTACTAAAACAAGCGAGCGGCAATTAATTTTGACCGCATCTCATTTCGTTTTCGGGCCGCATGTCGTCTTCGGGGTCGGATTTCGTCTTCGGGGCCAAATTGGACCGACTTTCGTCCTTGGGGCCGAATTTCGTCTTCGGGGCTGCATTTCGTCTTCGGGGCCGAATTTGGGTCTTCGGGCCGATTTCCGTCTTCGGGCCGAATTTCTTCTTCGGGGCCGAATTTTGACTTCGGGGCCCAATTTCCCCCCTGTGTTGGACAAGTGCTGGGGCCGATGCAATGCTCGATTACAGCTGTGAGAGTGTTGGGAGCTGTCGTTCCATCCGATTCTTAGCACGGCTTTTGAAAGTTGCCCATCAGATTAAGAGATAGTTTTCTCCTTGGTGTGTTACTACTGTTCGGACTCACTACCGAGGTCCGTTGGGTTGTGAACTCGGAGTGACAGCTCCGCAACTCCGAAAGCCTACATGCACAGGACCCATGGAACGCGCCAGTCCACTGTAAGCACTGGTCTCAATCAACATCTACAGGGCCTACACTCTCGTAACACCTATATTACTACAACCTCCAGCAGCAAAGTGCTTTCTCGAAACCCGTTCGACCCAACTCGGTGTCGCGGTAAGGGTGCGACTGCTGCGGGGCGTGTCAGGTGTGTTGAAGCCTGAAAGGAAGCATCTGCATGTCTGATGTTGGGACATGTCCAGAGGTAAACTTGTTGCCAGCCGTTCATTCAGTGTACTAAGACGTCTTCTAAGTTGACAGTGCACAGCTGGGTTAGGATCTGGATTTGGCTTCAGGGCCTAGGGGGACACATGGATCGTTCCGTATTCTTTTTCGTGGGCTTGCAAAGACAAGGCTTTGGACTCAAGGCCAAAACCTTTCCAAGGACTTTGCAAATAGCCTAAATCACTAAGCCCTGATCGGGAGGCCGCAATACTCAATCATGTTAATGTGATGTCAATGTCATTGCCTGGGCAACTGGGTAACTGGGTTGGGCATTAAGAATTAGCCCCTTTCTCTCAAGCTTTAGGTTTATGGCACGTAGCTACAAAAGCAAGTAGTGATGTCATGGTTAGACAGAAGTCGCTTTGAAGTGCATACACTGTGAATCATACACTCTACTTCAAGATGAGGACAGAAATGCGCCTGAAGCACGCTGCTCTGCTGAGCTGCCACCAGGTGAGTCGGGCTTGTCCTGTTCCGGATCAGGGATGAGAAATCAAACAGTCCGGTTCTGCTGATGTAAATAAATATTAAATATTTATATGCACCAGAAAAGCTGGGTTGGTGGTGGTGTCGGACTGGCGGGGCTGCAGACTGGACTCAAGTGACTCAAGACTCGAGGGACAGTGGGGTACCTGAGCTGCGAAATCCCAGTTTGCACATCTTGTCTGCATCGCGAACACATGCCAGCGGAGCGCTACCGACTGCAGATGAGCCCATCAGGGAACTGGCCAGGATGTCAAACCTGCGCTCAATGAACCAATGAACTGTGGACTGTGGCTCCTGACTCAGCAACTGCTACAACCATGTACTACGCATGGGCGGCAAGATTCCAACGCATGTTGACGTAGAGGCTGAAGCTGTGTCGTGCACTTGCGCTGAGGCTCAGGTCTAAGGTTGCTCGAGATAGTTGGCACAAGGAGCTGCTGGTGGTTCAGCATGGTTCAGCATGTTCAGCCATAAATACCCACACCATCCCAAAGCCCAAAACCCCCGCTTTCCACAATATGCCAAGCCACTGCAAGCCCTCTTACTCAAGTGACAAGGACCCCGTCAGCACCCGAAGGGGGACATGTAGCCACTATGAAGCCGAACTCCCGTGGACGAGGACTCCGCTGAAGTCAACTCGACACTAGCAGTCACTAGCAACCCTTCAGAACCTCTTCGATGCCATGCTAATGGTGGGCCGCCGATCTGCATCGCGAACCAGCAGATACCTGAACTGGTAAGATCAGCACAGAAGCTTTCCGAACATCAGCCTTGGGACATTCAGATGGCCACAGAACACACACACATTCTGGCCAGCCAGTCGGGTTGCCCATTGCGCAGTGGGAGTCCCACACAAGAGCAGAAGTTCATGCGAACGAGAACAGCTGCTCCCACAGATCTCTTCCATAGGAAGCCCAATGACAGTCAAAAACAGCACTCCAATAATTCCTTCCACGAATATTGCTTTGTAGAGAAAGCTGCTGAGTCGTCGACTACATTGATACACGGGACTGGATTAATGAAACAATTATTCGGCTCAGTTTGGCCGATCGCCTTCTAGCAAGACTACCAGGCTGCAGCCAGCACCCGCAGGCCTGAGCAATTAAACGGTGTCAAAATAAAACAAACATGTTGCGCCATTCGTTGTTGTTTGAGAATCTCGCCTTTATGATTGACTAGGCTGACTAGGCTCTGTAATCAATTGGCCAGGGCTGGACACCTGTTGGACAGACCCGAGTCAGAAGTAAGCACGAGATGGCACCGACACATAGCAGTGCCTCAAACAATGCTTCCTGGAAGGTAGCCCGCGGACCACCGAAAATGCAATGATAAATGCGGCGGCAATAGAGAACCGGAAACCAAAAACCGAGGCTGGAGGACACCGCTTACAGAACGAGCCCGCAAACAGTGCTTCCCAGCCCACGGGGCACCGAAAAGGAAATAATAAATAGGGTAGCAATAATACATTCGATCATTGGTTCTGGCGAGGGGGAGTAGGTGGGGGCGAAGGGGGCCGCAACAGGTCAAAATGAAGTTTTGTGTGTGTGTGGGGAGGTTGGGGAGACTCTGTGAGGGCCGGAAAGAATAACTCAATAGATGGCACAGGGCCGGCACAAGCGAAAATGAATTCTGCATGCCCTGGAAACATAATTTTGCCAGCCCGTCAGCCGGAAGCAAGCAGCCACAGGCCCCGCAAAAAAACACTTTGGGAAGAATAGTTTGCACAGGGCCGAAGGTTGCAAAACGATGGTTCTACGGCCTCACTGTTTGTTCCTGGCCTTTGCCTTTGCCTTTGCCTTGCTGGGCCTAATTTAGCTTGAGCGTGCCTTCCAAGCTGGTTGGCAAAGACTTTTTCCTGGCCCCGCACGAGCTGTTTCCTGCAGGCAAAAATGATAACAAATTAGCTAGGGACTCCACTGCGAACCAAGGCAGGACCCCGCCAAGTGCCGTTTGTTTCAGCCCCGTCAAACTGTTTCGAGGCTCCTCTGGGGGGGTGAGGGCGTTTATTCACCAAAACGTCACATTAGAGAATTAGAGCAGCAAGTGACCTGAGCTGCAGCATGGGTGCCGCAGATACTCCAGCAGGGGGCCCTTGTTCTCCAAGCGACGCTCGTTAGCCTGCGGAGCTCCGCGCAGCTGTGTGCACATGCAGATTTTTCGTGCTCAGGGTCAAGGCTTCAAAAGAACGAAACAATTGATTCTGGATGTACCCAAACTTACACCAGCTTCGCCAGAGCGACCTTTCATACAGATACTCCAGGCTGCAGCGAAGTGTGCGCAACAGGCTGCAGCGAAGGCGAAGTGTGCGCAACGAACAGCCTTAAGTCTTCACCTGTCACCTAGCACCGCGCCTACAAAAATTGACACCCAAAATGGAGGCCCAACTTTTCGCATATGCTCCAGGATACGAAGCAACTGTTGCTTCCACAGTGAAGTGACCAAGGAAAACAGCCCAACACACACAGTCCTCGCTGACAACATCCTGTCCGGACTTCCCAGTTGCGCATGCCTGGGCCATCCGCACGGAATATGTTGCGTGATCACAGGGACCGCAAAACAAAAGAGGAAGCCATCAGCAGCCGCTGGTAGAAAACCTGCCTCTGGCAACTTCACAAAGATCCCCATAATCAGAGAGAACTGTTCGGATGGTCACCCATGTCATCCCATGTCAACGCCGGGCCGCCCAATGCGTAGCGAAGTCATAATCCTGCAAGCCATCATGCAAGATGCCACACTTTCCGTGCTTCTTGGTTGGCGTTCAATTTGCAACACTGGACCAATTGGAACACACAACGTCCTCGAACAGAAAGCGGCCAGTCAGCAGCTCAAAGAAGAGGCAGCCCAGAGACCAAATATCGGCAGCCTGATCACGGTTGCCACCCCGAGTCGAAGGAAATTACAAGTTGCAATATGTTGCAATTGCTCACGCAGATGTGATGAGCGCTCCTTTTTCAGTCCGGTGTGCTCCAGGTGTCAGGTGTCCGCATGAACGTGCAGAACCTCATCTCACTTCCTGCTTATACCGTGCTCGGCTACATAACTTTTCGAGATTCTCAACCTAATACTTTGATAGAATGGAGGAAACGAGGTCCTTCCTGCAACTAGCTGGGGGCACACAAACAGGATCAGCACCTCGCACTGTCAGCGAGAAGCCACATCAGAAAACAATGAGCTTCCGATGGTGTTTCACCACGTCTGGAAGCCACAAGCTCAAGGGTACAATAATCAAGAGTGTTCAATATTTACACATGCAAGAACTGATAAAGCCGCCTTCTGGCAAACTCGATGCTAGTCGCGGAACTGAGGGAATCAGCAATGGATTCCGCTGCAAATGTGCTGCCAGATTCGCCACCATCATCGAGACCGTCGCCTGCGAACTTCAGGCAGACGGATGATCTACTCCGTTTGAATGCTATGGCCACATCACTGGTTGTCAGCGACGGCCTACGAACTCCAAGATGTGCACAATGGTATCCGGCCTGAGTCCCCAAGTAGTTTGAAAGATGAGTTCTGGAACATGCGCACGACAAAAACAACTTGACAGCAGCTTCTTGAATCCAAGGTCCTGAGCTTGTGGTCGTGACGAGCGTGGAAGGCAAAAAATCCTTGGTGCTCGTTGCAAGGGCTAAGGACGTTACAATGAGTTGTGCAACCTGCGAAAGCACATGCGGAGCTTCATGAAGCCCAGAGCCCTCGAGGTGGAGAGGTTGGTTCTAAGTCATGCCGGGCGATGCTAGGCTATGTCTTTGCAGTGATTTTCAAAAAAATCCAAATTCAGAAATACATTTCGGCATTCCAAGCGGCTGTGCATGAGCACGCCTTCTACGCTGAGCCACATCTCCCTTGGAGCTAGGACTGGTTCGATGCGGTCCTTGGGCATTGGTCATTGGGGGGGGCTGACACATCAGGCTGACGTTCGGCTGACACATCAGAGGGCTCTGGAATCTCGCGCCCTGCCCTCTGCCCTCTGCCTCTGCACGCTTCTGTGCCAAAAGCCGTTCGAAGGCAAGCCTGGGAATTGACAACGCATTTGATGCGCGCACTGCTGTGCTGCTTCTTGTGAGAATGTAGTCGTTGTGGCACGGGGCTGTGCGGCTGCGTGCCTACACTTCTGCAGGTACCCCGTCACCCAAGTCACCACAATCCATTTCTTTGATGGCTGTTTCTTGCCTCTGCAACATGTCTGTTCGATGCAGACCATGCAGACAGGCAGGATGCAAACAGCACGAGATTGTAGATGGCAGACGGGGCGGTTCTGCATGAAATTTCGAACTACGTAAGCTGCTACTCTCTTAGCATTTCCGTCTTCTGCATGAGCTGATTGCTTTGAACTTTGCCTTGAACCAGGTCTGTTGAGATGTTTTTGGGAAGCTAAGTATGATAAAATGCAGATCGAAGGGGCATGGAGGTGAAGCGTTCAGTGGCCGGCGGGCGGCAAAACGCTGTGAGCATCTGACCAGGGCAGGTCATGGGTTCATCCACATACATTCACAAGAAAGCTGTGGGAACTCAGTGGGAACAACTCAGACTGGGTAGTCAAATAAGCCGAGCTAGAGGGTAAGCGGAAATAACTGTCTTGACTCGTGGGATCCCACCGACATTGTCTGGTCGTGTGCACTATATGATAGAGTGCGCACTATACCAAGCATCAACTCCCATAGCAAATGAACTTGTATCGATGCACAAGGCCGAGCGATGGCCAGCTTTGAGTCTCGGAGAGTGCCTTTGTGCCTTCATGTTATCTCATGTTAGTTGCACAAAGTTGCTTCTCGTTGGGGTCTCCAGAGATGCCCGGACCCCGGCAATGCGGGTCCAACAATGCACACGGAACAAGCTTTGACTTGAAACTCCAAAGGACAGCAGAATGCAGTCGACGACAAACGAGTTCAAGTTGAAACGCATAGATCGCCCCCTTACATCAGCTCATATCAGCTCCCTCAGATCTACGAAGTTGGAAGCCAACATAGCCGCGACCTGCTTCCTTAGGCTGGGCGCCGGAGATGAGGCCTGCAGGCAAAGTAGGCAACAGGAGAGAGAGAGAGAGAGAGAGTGATGGAACCCAATTGAAATCTTTACTTCTTCGGTCAGCACAGCAATCCCAAACGCCGATGGTTTGCATCTGCAAGCATCGTAGAAACAGTTCGGGGTTCGGGGCGGGGGGGGGTGGTGGTGCAAGTTTCTGAGCGCCAGCCTTCGTGGCGAGAGGCCGCACGTCAAGAAGGACCAGCAAAAAGCGGAGCAGAGCACCTTCTGCGCAATGGAAAGCCCTTGGTCTTCGCGAGATTCGTGGGCAAGACGCAGCATGGCCAAGAGGCTCCACACACTGAAACAAGCACTTGTGCCCGTGACGTCCTCGAGGAGTGGCACACAAAGGCAGTAGTACCAACCGCCTTTCGGCTAGTGTCTGTGAATCGCCGAAAAAGAAAACGGGGCCAATGAAGCCGAAAAGAATGCCGTAGCACAAGGAGATGTACAGATCTCTGCTGCTGCGGGGATCGTCGAGTATATAGAGGGCAGAATGCTCGCAGATGGCATCCCGAAAACATCCCAAACCACCACCAGCTAAGAGAATGCAAACGCAGATGCCAAAGACAATAAAGACAATGACTGCGGACGGAGTGCGCCTTGTGCTCTGAAGTGCTCTGGCCCTCTATCAGGCAAATCAGCAGGGCTCTTTCAGTGCGAATGACACTGGCCAGTAGCATAGGCATGCGGCACGAGCATGGTGACGGACACCACCAGATACCAAAGCACCACGTCCAAAGTGAAACATGGCCGTAAGCATGGGGTCTGGCATTGTGTGCCCTGCTTGGACCGCAAGTTTGCTGCAGTACCGACGCTCTGGGTTCACTACTACAAGGTGTCGTTGTATGATTAGCTCCACGTGGGACACGGTGTCGCAACCCAGATTGGCGCATGTCCCATTAGTAAAATAGCACTGTCGCAACTGTTTAGCCCCTTCCCAACTCTGGGCCATGTCGAAGAGTATGATTGCTGTATATTACTGTAGCACATGCTTTGCTTCTTACATTTATCGTTACAGTAAATCGGCTTTGTCCCTAGCATTTTGACGTCCATTGCATGGCGATCACACAGCATCAACGACTTCACGACACCACCGAATCATGTGAGTTTCGACCCTGCGGACTTACCCAAGTGGCCAGAAACATTCTGTCCAAAGGAGACCTTGCAAACTCCGCGATCTATCACGTGGCCTTGTTGGTGCCGACACGTTTGCGCCTGTCGTGGGCCTTGGAGTCTCGGCGACTCACCTGGCGCCACGTAGAGATGTTGAGGAACAGGTTGTCCGGGCTTTGGTGCGAGCGCAAGCCTCGAGTGCATACAGGAGGATTGGAAGTATGCATGAACAGTGGTACTGTTGTTAGATGTTGTTAGGCTGTTGAGCTGCAGCATGTTACCTACATCACCAGCGGCATGCTGCATCTAAATCTGAGGTTTCGACGCCGGCAAGAACCTACAAAACTTACAAAACCAGTGCAAACTGGGTGGGGACTTTCCAGAACAGGGGAAAAAACAACAGGAACACAAGGAGAGAGAGAGAGAGAGGAGAAACAAAAAGACGGAGGCTCTTTGTCTTTGACCCGCCAAAAAAACTGCCCCTTACGAAAAAGAAACGAAACAGGGTTCTGCATGCCAATACACCCAGCCGGGAACGTGCTGGCGACCTTCTGCATGATAGGCCCTTATGCTGACGTCATGGCCACTCGACCATGGGTGCTTGTCTTCGATGAGCACACCTTTTATTTTTCTCTGGTGCCTTTGTGTCCGAAAGAGAGCATCATGTACTATCAAGCAGCCCCCTGCGCAACTACCCTGCCCCTCATGTTACGAATGTACCCGAGGAAATTTGGGAATCTGCGGCCCCTGTGGGCTGCAAACCTGAACCCGCCTAGACACTTAATCATACTTAAACCATCATAGGCGGAGATCCAATTGACTCTGAAACCTGCGATGCAAGAACAAGCGAGCATTTGTTGCGAAGTCGAGCTCCAACATCTCGGGACCCTGGCGCATGCAGAGCTGTTGGGCTGAAGCTTTCGCCGGCGGATGGGTCAGCGTTTCGTCTCATGTGGTCTCACTACACATCACGCTCCATAGGATGCAGGTCCGTGATGAAGACATCGAGTCGACACGTGCTGCCCATACATCCGCGCTCCCAGGTTAACAACAGTCTCGTAGCGTGAAAGAAATCAAGATCAACTGACATGTGAACGCCGTGGGGTTGCTGGAGTGAGGAAAGCGACTGCGTATTTCACTCGTGAGGTTGGAAGGCACAACCGCATGTTATCATCACAAGCGCATGGTCAACACAGACAGCACATAGCCACAATTCGCAGCAGCATAGCCTCATGGACAGCTAAAAACATATGTTCGATTCAATAGTCCGAACATGTCCGAACAATGCAGAAAGTGCAGAATGAGCAGAAATGTGTAAGAAATGCGGTTTGTAAAGCATAGACACTTTATGGAATCTTGCAAACACAACTCAGAGTCATGGTGGCGTAGCCCTCCTCAGACTGAGGACATCCCAAGACAATTCCATTCAATAGACCACCCAGCAAGTTGACAAACTAAGCCGTCAATTCAGGGGGTTTTCGGAGTGATCCTTAAGTTGTCGAGGTTGTCCAACAAGTTCCCTCAGATCCTGAAGAGAAAAGCAGTTGGGAGTCTTAAAACCTGGACTGCAGACCCTCGAAGATCAGCGAGGAAATGGATGAAGGGGTGCGGCGTTGAGCCAGCCAGAAATGTGTGCTCGGTCAGTGTATGAAACCCTTGGATGCAGGTCCAATCAAGCCTCAGAAAAACTCGAGACTACAGTAAGAGAACCGCTTCAGCCTTCCAAAACATCCACTCGGCATTTCAAGAATCTTGGGCTCCCTGTAGAAATGGCCAAGAACCAAGAAACTGATCTGCACGGCTACAACACCCATCTTTAAGATTTTAAGAAGTCAAAATGTAAACCTCTCACAGTCACAAAGTGGCTCACCCCCGCAACTTTAACCTGCCTTGATGATCTCCGTGCCACGGTTGCGCAAGTCCAGCTCGAAGGGGTTCTGTGGGCTTGGGATGGCTTATATAGGGCGCTGAAGAGCTTAGAGCCATGTTTCCTAGACCTAGAAAGCTTTGTGCTACTTCCAGAGGCTGCTGACTTGACTATGGGGCCCTTAAACCAATTGTGGATATTCTGGATCCTCTCAAAACAACCTTTTGCATCTCTACCTTGCACTCTACATTACATGCCTCTATGGAGTCTATGGACCGATCCTAAACCGGCCACAGCGTTTGAAACTACAGGGGCAACGCTTGGAGCGAGATGAGACTGCCATGACCTCCTCCGGCCTCCATCATACGCGACTCGCCAAAGTCGACCAGTGCGATTCGCGGAGCCTGCAAAGCTGCGTTAAGCGGCAAAAGTCAGCAGTGGAGCAGAAACCAGCGCCAAGCCATCTTGGACGTGTACGATATTGAACTTGACGGATTCCATCGCTCAGATAACGTTCTCCTATGTTCTCCTGCAGGCTCATTGAAGCTCATGTCTGCAAATGTTAAGAGCTCGAAGGGCATCCCAGGCCTCCTCCAAGCCTTCCGACTCGACGGTGCCATCGTCCTCCGAAAAGTCCGTATAGGGCTCAGGCTGAGAAACTTCCGCAATCGCAAATTTGCTCCCAGGTCATTGCATCTGAGAACACCAGTGTTGCAATGGATTGCAGTATACGGCTGCTGAGATGTACCTGTGCTCCTAGACAAGAGTACATAAACGAAAGCTGTTCGTCTCAAACCTTGAAGCCATGAAACGACTCAACGCAAACACGCGCAAAAGTTCAGACCACCCCCGTGACATCATGGTAACTTTATGGCTATTGGACCACCGTTACTGCAAATTAATCAAAAGTTCTTCACCAGCTGGGCGATGCTGAGTGAATGACGACATCGCTGCCGGGGCTCCAGAGAGGCCTCTGAAGCAAATCCAATCGAATCAGAATGCTTGTGTATGCTTGTAACGCTTCTCATGGCCTTAAACTGCCTTAAACCCCACAATCGTGGCCTTGCTAGCTTCGGGGACGCTGCGCTTGCTGCTACGAGTAGTTGACTGAAAACTAGTCCAGTTCCCGTCCAGTTTCATCGTCAAGGTCAGTTTGCTGATGTTTGCTGCAGCGTGGGCCGCCCAATATTGCTTAACAAGGTTCGGCAGGAGACAATGATCAAGAGAGGAATCATCAAAGCTCTCAGCGCCACACTTGTGAGCCGCTTCAATCATGATATTGTCGCACTTCAGATCGTAGTGAACGATGTCGTGCTTGTGGAGCGCTGCTACTGCCTGCCAAGACATCAGGCTGAAGGAGCCCACTCTCCTAGGACGCCAACATGAGCTGTGAATAGCTGAACGATGCCGGACGTCCTCCAGGATCTGCTTGAAGACTGTCAGCAGCACGGGAAGATGGTCGCTCAAAGTCCTTGAAGCGCTCAAGTGTGTGTAAGGCGTGTTGCACAATTGCGGCAAGTGTGGGAGCCGTCTGAGAACTTCAGTTTCAGTGACAGAACTGGCTCTGCAGTGGCTTTGAAGTGCTCGGAGAATCGGCTGCAAGCTTACTTTGTTCTACCCTGTTTGGTGAGCCGGCGCAAGCGACTCAAGCGACTCAAGCGACTCTTCACAAAACGTCCGAAAATCCGGAAATCCCCTAAGCCTAAGCCTCAGCCCTAAGCCCTGCAAAACGTCTCTGGGCTACAGGGCCCAACGAGTTGCTCACGCCACCTTCTGTCAGGTTCACGGGGATGCTTAGTTTGAATCCACGAAGGACCCGAAGGTCTGGGGGAGGGAGAATGATTCGTATGATGTCTTCAGAGGCTCAGCATGGCTCAGCCTTTGAAAAAAAACAAAAGCCCTGTCTCACCTCTTCAGCGTGGTGCCGTAGCACCTCGGCAGAAAAGGGGGCGGGAGGGGGGGAGGGTTCACAGGCCGGCGTTCAGCAGCTTTCTGCGCACTGAAACGTTCACTGCAACGTTCCTGTACACCTGAATGCCCAAGCATCCATAAGGCTTCATCCCAAACCAGAATCTGACAGTAGGGCAACGATCGAGTGTTAACACCAGTTGACGACAAGCTTTGACAGCTTTGGAAGAGCCAGAGCAGGCACTCATTTGAGGCAAGTCACTTCATTACAATCCAGTAGCAGGACTCTTCCACACCGAAGTCATAGATCTGGCAAACGTGGTCCTCAAAATCTGCGCCATTGCTATCCCCTCATGCCCTTGAAAAGGTCTGTGCAAGGTTCGGGTTCAAGCGTGACGGAAGTGCCAACTGCACGGCACGTGCCCGCAAAGCAGTTTCAAAAGACAGAGATGCCATGGACACGTGTGGGTGTGGGTAGCTCTCCTACGCTAGGGGGATGCCCCCCTTTTGGGGGGAGTCCGGTACGAGAGCGTCGACACTGTAAGCGGGACATGTCGGGATGGGGGAGGCTCAGGTAGAAAACGAATGGATCAAACAGAGAGACTGATAAAATTCAGAGCGGGCGGGAGCCTCGAATCGCACTGTGTCCAAGCAAGTGATTTCGTTGAAGACGTCAACCAACACACAACGGTCCTGGCAGGAGTCACGTGAGTGACAGGAGGCCCAGAAGCACGGGTGGCAAGCGCTGCAGAAAGATGGGAGGACTTGCGGCACTGTCATTCCGCAGTCTTGATGGCTCCTGGATGTTGGTTTGCTTGGGGATGTGCTTGATGGCAACCTGCAGGCTTGGAATGGCTTTTGGACTTTTGGACTTTTGGAGTCAAATGGCAGCACTTAAGACTTGCCCATACTCCATAGAATCTGGTAGAGTCGAAGCTGGTTCTTCGCCGTTCATTCGATACCCCATGATACCCCAAAAGCCTTACACTCCCCCTCCGGCCTGGAGGTTCTGGTTCCCCAAAGTGACGCCGCTCTGCATCACCTCAGGTCTAAACAGGTTTTGAGAGGAAGGGTCAATAGGGGGCAGATGAATGCCTGGCTTATACAGAAAAAAAGGCTTGTACATTCCAGGGCTTTCAAGCGTACTATTGAATTAGCACAGCCTGAGGCGCAAACTGTCCCAAACTGTCCTTGGCCCACCACCCGCATGTTCGTGTACCTCTGCGCTGGGGCCGCTTGCTGGAGTCAAACATTGAGTGAAAATTAAAATGCAGGGTGTGATGTTCTGCCAAAAGATACATCACATAATCCTTATTTGTAGGAGCTCCCCTTAAAAGGGGTATACAAAGCTATTCTCGAAAATCATCGACCAACTCCTGCCTTCACGAACCTCAAAAAGGCGCACATCCAGCGATGCATCGCGGACTCGACGAGGAGCTTCAGAAGCCGAAGCTCTCCAAGGCGTCCGATTTGATCCACCTGCTACGCAGGTTCTCCTCAAACGGCCTTAAGACCTGGTGATCTGCAGTGGTCCCTTTCGACACACGTGATCCCAAGCCCAATAAGCCGAGGTCAATCGGCTCGCCTGCTGGAAGACCCACGGCAGCACGGCCCTGGCGCAAGACTTGCAGGGCTCAAAGGAAAGGCCTCCTAAGTTGTGTTTTAAACTTTTGTTGGAGCTCAGGGGATGCCGGCATTTGGGCATAAGATGGCTTGTAGGGCTTTCGTGACTCTGTTGTGTAGCTCGGTCTGTGAGAACTTGGCGGACATGGGCTGAGTCGAAGCCTGGGCTCCCCCTGTGTTTTTTGGCTCCTGCCACCCCGGTCTCACGCCGTGGACTCTTACAGCCCTAAAGGGGGTTTAGGGGATCTCCTTCGGAGTTCCCTTCCCAGCGTATTGAGTCGTAGATGGAAGCTTCTCAAACAGTCTCAGGGTGTGCCACCGCAGTTCGGTTGGGGGAGGGGGGGGGGAAGCCCCAGGCTTGTCTACGACTCCGCTGATGTGAACTTCCAGGCAGAAGGCTTGCCATGCACCATGGCAGCCTGGCCCAGCTTGGTGTTAAGCCCGCCTCTTTGGCAGATCAACGGCCACGTCTGGGCTGTGGGTGACCGACGCAAGGCTGATAGTCTTCTGACCTCTTTCCAGACTTGAATTTTCTAACATTCTCAAGCTCCGCACACGAGCCCTGCTTCTTTCGCAGCCCCGACAACAGTGAGGGCTATCCATATCCTTCGGGAAGGAATGCGCATCACGCCAATCCACTACCTTGCGCATTCATCTCGTCTTGCCCGTGGAAGCGTGGAAAGCCTGCACCTGGAGACATGTTTCACGGCACCGAGAACATGCCAAAGGAACCAACCGGTCCTACAGTTCCCTCAACACATCTCAACACCCCCAGGCGCTTCGGCGCTTGGGCCGTGACACTGGGTTCCATGTTCTTCCGCTGGCGCCTGCAAGCACAGACCGACGCAAGCCGCATGCAAACTGCAACTGACTGCAACGCTCAATAAATTGACGAGGCAACGCCGGGGCAGGATAAACTTAGAGACTGGTAGTGAGCAGCAGTGTGTGAAAGTGGGTTGACCTTGTGTTATCAAGCGCCTTCTTTGGAAGAATCGCTAAGTCCCGTCTGACCAAACATGACAGGTGAAAAAAGAGTGAATGCTTACTTAGCCTCCACTTCTCTGTATCTCGCAAGGAGTAGCACCAGTGTGAATGCTTGGGCGACCCCCATATCTGGCCTACCGTCCAAGGCCTCATTACTTGGCCTTTTCTCACTCGAGGCTTTATAGCAGAAAATCGGTGCCACAGTATGCCAGAGCAGAGGCCACAAGGAACATACTTCCATCATGACCATGTTTCGAGAAGGGCCCGCCCCCTAAGGGTAGGCAGAGAACTTGCGTGCAACGGCCGCACAGGACTGTGTTACGTTGTACTTGATGTCCGCCTCAGCGCGGCTTCCAGCTGCTTGGCCTGCGGAACAGCCAAGTGCGGCAGGCGTCGGCTGGAACTGATAGGAGGACACAATTGCGGCAACAAGATTGGGTGAAATCTTAAGAAAGCGGAAACAGACTACACTACTACCTGCATGGAAAGCCACGAGGACTGGCTGCACCACCGGTTCGGACGTGCGCAGCACATATTCGCACATGACGAGCTCCCACAAGCACACGTGTGAAGCATCAGAGTCATGAGAGGGCCAGTGGCATGCTTCGGCAAAACGAAACATGGGGTCTGCGTGCTTGAAAATCTTGACATGTCCAGCCCTATATCTGCTTCTGGAACAAGAACAGTAGGCACGCAACAGCTTGTCACGGACGATGCGAAGGGCAAAGATTGATGTTGTACTTAGACGGTCAATGTCCTCTCACATGCCGCTTTCATACAAACGGAAGCTGAACTCTGAAACACCATGCGTCCTGTGTGCGCTGAATGAAACTCGTTATCCTGTTGAAAAGCATGTGCGAAGCGAGGTCTCAAGCGCACTGCTGCGATTCGCGCACTTGGAGAGCAACACGACCAATCAAAACCGGCGAAAAACGGAAGCCCCAAGGCTCAATGGTCAGAGCAGCCTGCTCCAGGTGCTGCGCGTAGTACTTCCAAGCATCCGTCCTAAGGGGATCGTGTAGGGCACGGCGAATGCTGCTCTCCTACTCCTTGTGCACGGGGTCACCTGTGGTACCCTTTTCAAGTATGGCTTGCTTTATGTCTAGGTAGCACAAAGCAGGCACCCCACCTCTAATCCCCTCCCCAACCCGGGACCAGGTTTGCACCCCTTTATTTTGGATTTTGACCTAAAATGGGTGGGAGCAGACGGTGCATCAGGACCAGGGAGCCTACTACAGGGCCCACGCAAGCCGCCCAACCCCCCACCCCCCTCCCCCCCACAGTTGCAGAAGTTCAGGCCGAGGCGGGTCGCGTAGCGTTAGAATTAGAAATAAGTAAACCATTGCTGGCCCCCACGTACTTTGCAGACCACAGCATACGCATCGCAGATGGGACAAATTCGAACATGAGCCGAGGCTTGGACGACATCATCCGCTCGCGTGCCGCTGGGTCCTGTTCAGCCAGGTCAACGTATTGCATCTTGCATCAGCTTGTGGTGTTGCCGCACCTAGCTCCACGAATGCATTTTCTGCCGGCGATGAGCCCCCCGCCACCCCCACCCCCACCCTCCGCCCCCCCTGCCCGCCCCCCTGCTAAGACGAGAGATGTGACTCAAATTGCAATACCCTGTAAGGTGTGACACGACGTTTTGCCCTGATATTATTAGGCAGAAGTCAAGCCTGACTTGCTCAGGGATGAGCATGCTACGTACTTTTCTGGCGTTGATTGGGCTTCGCGCCTTCTTATGTAGTGTGCTTCCAGACTTCCTTCAATCAAGTCTTCAGCTCCATTTGCGAAGCAAGCGCGCGGCGCCACCCATCTGCTTTCCCGTCCAAGAACTCACAATGCGTTTTGGCGCCACAGTTGGACTGGGGCCTAGGACGTGCAAATAGCTAAGGTTTAGTGCATCCGCTTTGGGCCAGAGTCAAAGCAGCAATGACACAGATATCGAAAAGCTGCTTGCCTCGAGCCGTTCGCGGATGTCATTGACTTCTCGATGAAGCGTCGCGAAGTTGCGGCACCTGGCCATGACCGGCCACCATATTTCAAGTACAAGTAGCATCAACACCTCACCACGCTGCACACGGTGCCCGACCGACTGGCGAAGCATAGAACCCGAGAAATACCCCAGCCCATCAGAACTGCAAAGACAGGCAGGAATTGGAATGGTTCTTGCAGGCAGGACGTAGCATCTGGGAACCCCTGCGTAGCAGAATGTCCTCTGGCACATGCGAAACCTCGGTCATGGACACTTTAACATCACCAACCATCACATCGTACCTTGATGCCTGCATGGCACCCATATCGACATGTGCGCATTGCAGCGCGCATGATGGAACATGGTGCACACATGCGCACGAGCCCGTCTCAAAGTTCGCGAACTCACACCGACAAGACTTGGTCGGCAGCTCGCAGCGGTGCGCATTCGCTGCTCACGGCAGAATTTCGCTGCCTTGCCAGGAGTCTGAAGACTGCAAATAGAAGCCTCTGGCAGTGTTCTGTAGCACGCGTTTCAGCATTCCAATTCGTTGCACATGTTCACTCGACAGCTACTTGTCCAAGCCTACTTGAAATATTTCTACCCTTAGCGACTTTAGTGACCGTAGTGCGAAGCGCATGCTCCGCATGGGTCCGGGCAGCTCGAAAGCCATGCTTGGCCCCAAGACATGGCTAAGAAATGCTACGAGTACATCCAGGAGTCAGGTGAACGCAACGTTCAGAGAAGTTCAGAGCCTCCTCATGCTTGCCCATGCTGACAACTGCCTCCGCCGGCACTGAATGGGATTCAGAACATGCAGGAAGAGCACTGCAGCAGTATTGGACCAGTTCGGCATGCGACATTGCAAAAACGCAAACACGCAAACCCATCCACACGCACACCCGTTTCTTAAATTACGAACGGTGGGTTTCTTAAGCTCAAGAAATCGAGGGGCTGGGTTTCTGATTTGAGTAGGGGGGGAGGGGCGAGGACCCCAGGGCTGCATTTCTTGTTTGAGGGGGGAGGCGGGGGGACTTTTTTTACCAATTATGAAGCCCACCGATTTTCCGGAAGTACCACCTCCGCAATTTTGAGGGTACCCTGCATTTCTGAATTTATTTGTTAATTGGGATTCGAGCTGGTGCTCTTTGAATTAGTCGGGCGACGCCTTAACCATTAGCCTGATCGCTCGACATCTTAATTGGGGGGGTCGCCAAATGTCACAGGTTGCTTCTCCAGCGCTGTCACTGTACACAAAAGTGCCTGTTCTTGCAATTCAGTGCCCAGAACCTACTGTAGGACAGTTTTGTAGCACTCCTCAATAACATTCGCGAACATTCACTAACTTCGGGCCCTGCCTCCTCAAAGGCGCGGAAGTTGCTTGCCACTGACTCACGTGGACTGGCAGGAAGGGCCTTCAGGCAATAGATGGCAAAATATTGCAGATTGCACAAGACGGGACGCTACACTACTCCATGCCGCCAGCATCCTCCAGTCGATATTTCAGTGCGAATGCAAGAAAAAGTCGTTGAAGCAGGATATGAGTCACTTTATGAGTCTGCTCTCAAGCACAACGCAGCTCGTGCCTCGAGCCTGGGGCCACTCCTCCGCAACCTGGGAGGTCGGGCAAGTCAAAGCTCAGGCTCGAGCATCAGCCGTAATGTGCAAAGAGGTCAAGTATCCAGTTGATTAAATATCGCGTTATAAACTCCTCCAAGACTTGTCTGCCAATTTCTGCAGGTTTCTGGGGTGCCCACGCGCGCTCTTTCAGATTCCCCACGGGGCCGGGGTCCTCGGCACCGTCTGGCACAGGAAATCACTCGAATGAGAGACAAAGGGACAAAGAGCCACGGCAAGCCGACCCCATTCCGCCGCCTTGGACCCCCCCACATCACCCACCGAATCTAGAAAACGCTGCAAAAACTCAGGTGGAAAGGAGCGCACGCTCAGCTGCCGCACCAGTTTCGGTATTGACCTCGCTGACACAGGATGCCAGCGGCCATTATCTCTGAATATACTGTGCGGCGCAATATTCACCATTGCACGTCTCATACTGTGGGACTCGCAGCGTTTTGGCATGTTTTGGCCTGGGCCCTCCGACCGAGACTTCGCCAAATTGT